AGGGGAGGGTGTGGGGGGTGGACGTGGAGGGCCATCCCTTCTGAAGCAGGGGATGTGAGTCTGAAAGTCCTCCATGTGGGCAGACAGGTGTCTTCCGGAGCACAGAGGGTGTGACATGGGGGTGGGAGGAGGGCTCGACACTGGAGAGGTGCTGGCTTGGGGTCTTCGGGGGGGTGGGGATGCTGAGGCTCCCTGCCTGGCAGGCAGAGCACAGCGAGGGCATGCGAGGGCATCAGGGCCAAAGCAGGCAGAGCCAGACCTGCCCCCTGGCCCCTGCCCCCTCCGGGTTCCAACATGGGTCCCGGGCAGAGACCGTGTGCTTCACATGGACCCTCCACCTTTGGATCACTATGCTGGGTGGAAGGGGGAGAGACCCCAGTATGACAGGGCAGCACTGCCACCTGGGGCTCACCTGGCGTTTCCTGCTCCCCTGAGCCTTGGCCACCAGACTGGGGGTTCCCGGTTTACCCAGCCAAAGGCCTGGGGGCACACGTGGCCTGGCTCAGAGGGTCTGCAGAAGTGTGTGCTCTTCCACCCAAGGAGCTACGCAGTCCCCACAGTGGACCCACCTCCCTCTGGGACGCAGAGGCTCACCACCATGGACCAGCTGTGAGTGGACCACGGGGAGGAAGCCCCAGGACAGGCGGGGGTGCAATGTCCTCTGACTCGAGCAAGACCTCTGCGGCTGGTGGCAGTGCCAACCCTGAGTGCACAAAAGCCATCCTCTCCCAGGCACAGGGGAATCCCAAGGGTCTCAACCCTGAAGCCTGGCTCTCGGGGTGGCTCGTCCCCTGGGCCCAGCATGGGTGACCACACGGTTGTTATTTATGCTAGAACTAAAGCAGAAAACAAGGCCTGGGGGAGGGCCCTTCTGGGCAGGGCAGGTCCAGGCTGTGACCCCGGGTGGGGGTGGAGATGGGCCTCACCCTCTGCAGGGCTGACTGGTGGGGGAGGGACCATCCCTCCTGAGGACAGGCTGCCGGCCCTGTGGCTCCAGTGCTCCTGCATGATCAGCAGGGCACATGGTACCTGGCTCCCCCAGGGACACACACCGCAGCAGATGCCTCTCCCGGGTGGGAACCATGCTCTGGTGCCCCCCTGCAGGTGACAGCACCAAGGACACTGCCGGGTGTCCACCTGCCAACCTCAGGGGGCACGGGGAGGTCTAGGCCACGGCCAGGGAGACAGAAGGCCAGAGCCTTCAGACAAGTGGCCTGAACCTCAGGAGACCTCCCCTCGGCCCCCAGGCCCCAGGAGAAAGGACTGAGACCAGCCCAGCACTGGGAAGCCATGCCACCCAGAGGGAGCCGAGGGCTGGAACCCTAGCTGGGGGGCTCCGCGGCCTCCCCTCGTCCTGGGGCACAGGTGCCCGTGCCCAGCTCCCCAGGCTGGGGGGGTCAGCAGGACGGGGGGCCATGCTGATTTCCCTCTAATTCCCACCTGTCTCGTTTGCTCCTTAATATCTCCTAACTGCAGGACTCGGGCGCTTCCTGCTGCAGAGCCCTGGCAGGGAGACGCTCCCTGAGACAGAGCCACCTGTGCTGCCAGGCCTGGCGGCCCTTCCTCCTCACTGTCCCCTGCAAGCCAAATGCTGTTCGCTCAGGGCCCAGAGTGAGCCTGCCCAGAGCAGGGTCTGCTGGCCAGCCCCCAGCTCTGGTGACCCCAGTACCCCTCCCCGTCCCCACCTTGAAGAGCCAAGAGGCAGGGCAGGTGGAAGTGTCCACAGGCCTTCCTGCCTCCTCTGCCCCACACCCACGTGTCTCTCACTACAGGCCCTGAGAGACCCGGGGCCTTGTGCCATGGGCGCCGTCAACATGATTTTATTTCCTTTGCAGTGGAATCCACGAAATTCAGAAGCGCAGAAGGGGCTGTGCCTAGCAGGGGTCATGGTCACCAGACCTGGCCTGAGTGGAGGGGGATTGTATTTAAAAAGCAAAACAGAACAAATCACTCGCCGAGACAACCCCGTCTGTCCGTAGTGGTGGGAATTTCACGAAACTGCCCTTAAACAACAAGATGGCCCTCCCCAGCCCAAAGCGCTGAGAAAAGCTGGTGGTGGGCTTGAACCTGGGTTCCACTTCCTACCTGGACGTTCATCCGGATGCATCTCAAGCACCGGGCGGCAGCAGGCTGTGTGCCTCTGCTCTGTTCTGGGAGGCCCAGGGACTGCCCTCTCCTGGTGGCTAAGCTCCAACCTGGGAGCGGAGTCCTCAGGGGACTTCACAGCCCAGCGGGTGAGGCCGAGGGCACGGCCTTCCCCGAAGAGCTCTGCCTGCAGGCGCACAGGCAGGAATGCCCACGCCCAACGGCCAGTTTTCTTCCGGGCAGGAGTAGAGCTGGGGGAGTGACCTTGAAAGGAGGCACAGAAAGGCTGGCCCTCCGCCGGGGACACTCAGCAAGGAGGGGCCACAGGTTTGCTGACTCCAAACCAGGGCAGAGTTCTTGTCCAGGGCCTGAGCCCTCATGGTCAAGGCTGCTGAAGGCTAGGTCAGTGGTCGCTTCCCTGAGTGGCCGGTGAGGCCTCTGGGCCATGGCGTACCAGGCTCCTGGCAGCTTCTACAGGAAAAGTCCCACAGATGGGGTGGCCTGGGCAGGTGTCCTTGTGCTCATCTAACAGGTGAAGAACAGGCTGGGTGGGCAGAGGCCACTGGCCAGGGAGGGGTGGTGGCAGTTCCAGGCCAGGCCCCTGCTCCAGGGAAGGGCGTTCCCACAGCGCTACTCCCAGCCCTGGGGAGACTTGGGGGATTCGCTTTTAGGTCTGGAGCGGCCCCACAGGAAGGCCTGTGCAGCCAACAAGACCCAGGCTGTCCCCGGGGCCCCTGGGATAGGGGGCCCAGGTTCAGGCCAGCCTCATGGTCCAACTGGGCAGCCAGTCCTGGCTGCACCTGGCCCAGGTTAGAAGATACTTCCTCCCCTCTGCCTGGTGAGCCCAGGGTGTCCCCACCTCCCCAGCCTCTTGCAAGGGGATCGGGAGGCTGGATAGGGAGGCTTCTGCAGGAGGAAACCCGAGGGAGACTAAAACCCTGCGGGCCACCCCAGCTATCTGCCAGAGGTGGACCACAGCTCAGAGGGACTTCACAGGAGCAGATCCCCCCCCAGCGGCCCACAGTGCCCCCATTTCCTTGTTGCCCCCATCTGCTCGCTCTTTCCTAGCACCCGGGGGAGGACCCCGTCAGGCCCAGGTGGCAGAGAAATACTCATCCTACACCACCCGCCATTCCCTGGGTGCACCCAGCTCCCGACCTCCTGCCAGGTCCCTCTGCCCTGGGAGGACGGGTCGGAAGTCAGCTTTCCTGGTGTCAGGTGGACAGTCCCTCTCCTCCCAGAGACCCAGGACGACGTCATGCCACACTGTCAGCAGGCGTGTAAGTGGCAGGACCCACGAGGCGCCGACTTTATGCGCGCACACGCCCGCCCACCAATAGCATTAAGTGTCATTTTAAAAAATGGGTTAAATAAGCGGCATGGCGGAGGATGGCCATGCCGGGCTGATTACCCCCTATTTGCACGTCGTGGCGGTGGGAAGCCAGGAGTCTGATGGCTGAATTATCACCCTAATGCCTTTTGCTGGCTGGGAATAATCCTGGGGTAACAGCTGCCGCAGGGTTGGGGCTGGCTTCCTCTAATTGCATCCAGATGAAGGGAGCAGCGCCAGGGCGGGCTGCTCCCTCCCCTCCAGGGCTTCCCCTCCAGCCCGCAGCACACCCGCTCTGGCTTCCTGGACCCTGGCTGCTCTGCAGAAGCAGATGACACTGAGGCCCAGGGGAGCAGAGTGGCACTTGGTCACCCTGAGGATGCAGCTGGTGTAGGTGGGTCAGGTCTTGGGGAGCTGGAACTCAGGGGGAGGGCCTTCCACCTGGGACCTTCCAAAGCGAGTGGAGGCCTGGCCCTGCTCCACCTGCCCTCAAGACAGCAGCCCCAGGGCAAGAGGCACCAGAGTAGCACAGGCCTGGGTGAGGGCAGGGGCTCCCTCTCCCACCCCAGGGAGCGGTGACCTGGAACAGTGTCATTTGGACCAAGACTTTCTAGTGGTGGCAGGTAGACTGTGATGACAGTCCCATCCTGGGCCCCTCTGAATCCCCAGGCTCCTGGACAGGTTGTGCAGAGGGAACACTAGCAGAAAGGGTCCCTTTACCCACCCCAGAAGGCCAGGTCTGGCCGCAGGATGGGACAGACGTGTGGTCCTCCCTGGCCTGGACAGGTACACACCCAGTCCTGCAGGGGCCTTCACCAGGGCTGACCTGCAGGAGGGAGGCAAGGGACCTGCCCTTGCACCTCGAGTGCCCTGCTGGAGCTTCGGAACCCATGGCCCCGGAGGTAAGCAAGCCAAGACCAGGACTGCCCAGCCTGACTGCCCAGCCTGACCGCCGACCTGCAGGCAGCACGGTACCTGGGCGCAGCAGTTTAGGCCGATGAATTTGGGGGTTATCTGCTACACAGCACTCCTGTGGCAACGGAGAGCTGACAGGACTATTTGTGGGGTCTGGTTTCCAGAGGAGGGTTAGGAAGGAGGAACCTGGTTAGCGCTACCCGTTTCCCTAGCGGACCAGGAGCCAACACAGACAGGCAACCCACTTTCCCCAGGAGCAAAACAGATGAGAAGTCCACCCCCCAGGACCCCCGTGGCTGGACTGCAGTGGTTAACAGCTCAGGATCTGCACACTGGGGAGTCCAGTATGTTCTCCCCCAAAGGCTCTTGGAACAGAGGGACCGGGAACTTTTAAGTGCCTTGAAGAGGACTTGGGCTTATGGAGAAAAAAGGCTGAGAAGGGAGGGGGCTGGTGTCTTTCTAAGACTGGCACTGTCCAGCAGTGCCCACCCTTCAGCAGGGAGCTGCGGGCGGGAGGCAGCTCTGGGTCTGCGCTTCACAGAGGCATCCAACTCCTGGCGCCCATCACGTAAGACATGGCTCTCCTGCAACGGCTGGGAGCTTCTGGTCACAGCCCCTGTGCCCCGTTCTGTCCCAGGAGGGGCAGCCAAGGCCCAGCCCTCGGAGGAGGAGCACACGGGGGAGCCCGAATGCTCCTTGACCGCGGCTGCTCTTGGTCCACACTCACAGCAGGGACCACAGGTCCTGCAGCGGGTCAAGAGGCTTCTGCTATGTCAGGTGCCTTGTCCTGGCTTTCTGTTAGTACACTCCCACCGCCCTGAGGAAGGGATCCTCTTCAGAGGACCTTGCAGGCACACGCACATGCACACACACATACACACACACCTGCCAACCCGTTCAACCCCCAGATGGCTGCTGGACCTGGTGAGACTGACTGCGAACAGTGCCAGGAGTCCTCAGGGGAAGACCCCAGCTTAGGGGCAGGTGTCCGACCCTTGTCCACCAGGCTGTGGCTCCGGCTCAGTCGGGCCCTTCCTCCCCATGGCCAGGATGCACAGCACTTAGGCAGCTGGCGCGAGAGCCCCAGGTTGGACACTTGTTCTGAAATCGGAGGGCTTCCTGGCAGATGCCCTCACACCAGCTTTGCAGCTGTGGTGGGCAGGGGGAGGAGCGTGTCCAGCTCATTGGAGAATCCTGACGAGAAAGCGTCCCGTGTGCAGAGGCCTCTGGGCCTGCATGGGCCCCGCTGTCTGCACCCCTTGGCACTGGGGTGGAGGCCTCCTCCTGTCCCTGCTGTCCCCTTTTCCTGGCAACGAGGAATTTCTGGGCTGTGCAGAATTCCCCCAGGCAGCCGGCGTGAGGCAGCTGCCCGGTCCCAGCTTCCGGGGCTGGCTGTCCTCTGGGAGGGTGGCAGGCCTTGCTGCTGTCATTTCCAGGCTCTGGCTGTGTCGTTACTGGGGAAAAGGGCTCTTCATTTCGCCCACAGCCATCTTCCTTACACTTCTGACATCCGTACCCCAGCCCCTCCCCCACGCCCAGGACCTCCTGCAAGGTCCCCTCAACCTGTCCAGTACAGGGAGTCCCACCTATCTGCGGAAGCCGAAGCCTTCCCGAGGTGTCTTCGGGCCCCTCTTGCCTTCTCTTGGAGCTGGGGGTGAAGGCATCTCCACCGTGCCCCCGTAGGGACAGCCCTCGGAGCCTGGGTGGTGGCCGGCACACTCCACAGCGGGCATGTACCCACTGTCCCACATTCCCGTCCCACAGAGCTTGCATAGCTCATGCAGGCTGCAGGGGATCCGCGGCAAGAGGCGGAACTGGTACAGCAAGCTTCTGGCCTGCAGAGAGAGAGGATGGGGTCAGGGGACAGCCTGGTGGCCTGGGATCCCCATGGGAAGTTGAAGAATGACCGTGGCCAGGGCCAATGCCTGTGGGCTCTGCCCACTGGCTCCCACCTAGCACCACACAGTGGTCTGGGTCTGCCACGGCTGCTGGAGACTCTGGCAGAGCTCACAGCCGCAAGCTGTGAGGAAGCCCTCCGATTTCAGAGCTCCCAAGCTGCCCAATGAGGGAGAGCAAGGCCAAGGCTGCCCAGCCCTGCCCGGCCCAGCCTGCCATGTTTGGCAGGACCCCTCTCTGACTCAGCTCGGCCCCACCTTCTGGGCCACCAGGATGCCCTGGAGCTCCGCCCAGCAGCACTTCAGCAGGAGACTGGAGGGGGGCAGGAGGGCAGAAGTTCAATGAAGTCCCCTTTATTCCAGTTGACCTTGGGCAGTCCCTCCCCAGCCCCAGCCTCCCGTTTCCCTAGCTCTGGGCTGGAAGTAAGACTCCCCAAGGTGGGGACCCCACAATGGTGCCCCCTGAGAGCATGGAGACAGCCACGGGGACACATGACCTAGCTGGAGGGGCTGCAGCAGGTGCAGATGGGCAGTGCAGGGCAGGCTCTGTGCAGGCAGGGGCGGGGCTCTTGCTACAGGGGCGGGGCTTCAAGAGCCCGGGAGGGAAAGGCTCACCTTCCTGAGCACCAGCTCTCCATTCATGTGCATGGCCAGGTTTCCGAAGTGCAGGAGCATCTGGTCAGTGGCCAGCTGCTGCTCGATGACGTCATCCCCGTAGATGGCCACGATGGCCACGCAGATGAAAAGGTGGAAGTAGTCCGTCTGGGGGAGATAGCAGAACTCTGACGGGCCCTGACTGGCCTGCCTGAAGGACGGGCCTGGTGCAGGGGGCAGAGGGGCTCCGGGGGAGGGCGTCTGCGCTGGGGGCCTGGTTGTGGGTTGTGGGGGTCTTGGCAAGCTGTGCAGGGGCCTTCATCCTCAGTTTCCCCACATGCAAGTCAGGTCTGTCGGCAGCCACACCCCTGGGGCTGCTGCAGGACCCAGAGCAGCAACGCTTGTGCCGGGCAGCCATGACTGCCAGTCTCTGGGTGGGCTCTCTGTGTGACCCCTTCTTCCAAAACCTGGACCCCAGAGCTCACTGTGACGTCCTATCCACAAACGTCATGAGAGGGGCTGTGGGCAGGCTGGGTCAGGGTCCTCCCCAGGTGCAAGCCAACCAACAGGCTGGTCTGTCCTGCTGCGGGGCGTCCCGAGGCGCGCCCCAGAGACTGCGCTCCACTGCAGTCGGAGAAGCAGGTCCCAGGAGAGCAGTCCCAATCTCGATGTCCCAGCCCCCCTCTTGGAGGCCCCTCAGAGGGCCCCACTGCCTTCCTTTAAGGCACCGTGTCCTGGCTGGGACCATCTGTGTGTGCTCCTGCCTGGGCACCTCGAGGCACCCACCTTGGACACAGTGGCTCACTGAGGCACAGGAAGGAAGGGAGCAGCAGAAAGTGCATGCAAGTCCCCTGACACTGGTCACAGTTCCACACAGAACCAGCCCCAATCAGGCTGCTGGAGTGCTGCGCGTGGGCAGAGGCCACAGCAGCAAACCTCACCCGGGCCTGCTCTGGGAGATGCCGCCCCGGGCCACCCGGCCCCCTCCTCAGAGCTCCCTGCAGGGGTCTTGTTTTGGTTCGGGCTTGCAGCCACTCTGACTTTGTCTGGGGTGAGAGTCCCAGGAAGTGGACGCCCAGCTTTGCTGGAGGAATGTGGGGAGTGGAAGGTGGGGCCTGGTCCACATGGGCTGGACGGCGGCACAGAGGGTCTCAGCTCTTGGGACAAGGTGTGGGGCAGGCCAGCCCACCGCACACTGCAGGGAAATGGGTGAGACTGTCCCCCAGGGGGTCACTCAGGAATTAAAGGCATTGCCCGGCAGTGACCCCTGCCAGAGCTCACTCCTGGCTAATTAGCCTCCTTCATCCTCCCACCCCTCCCGCCCAGCTGACCAGGGATTGTTCCAAATGTGGCTACATTTACCCCAAGTCTGAAAGCACAGTGGACTTGCTTTGTGGGCTTTAAACAGATTGGCAGTCGGCTGGGGTCATTGCCACTGGCCTCATCAGACCTGGGACACAGTACAGTGGAAGAATCGGCCCTCTTCAGGGGGTGATGCTGAGGTCACTTGTAACACAGGTAAAGGGCAGGGTGGGGTTTGCAGGCCGTCCACGGTGCGCTTCCCTGTATTAGTGCAGGTGCTCGTCCTGAGCTCTGCGTCCGGCTCGTCCACCCAGGTGGGCCAGGCACGCAGACCGGGGGTGGGCCGTGAGGAAGGTACAGACAGTTGGTGGCACAACCTAGGTGTCTTCAGACTCCCGTGTGACCCCCCGACCCGTGATGCCACTCGGGATGGGAACTGCTACTGCCACGTCTGGGGGTAGGTGGTATCCACCTCTCTCTGCTAGCTGCCCTGGACATCACAGCTGGCGCCCAGTAGAGGGCCGTCCCTCCTGAATGCATCCCAGTACTTCTGTAAAGGCTGGTGAATGCAGAGACTCCCCCATCCTCTCGCCTCACCCATCTGTCCCTAACTCAGGCGCTAAAGCCACGTGACAGACTCCACCCTGTGCTCCGAGGACAGCTGGTGGAGGAGATACTGGTGTTGGGGACAGCAAGTGGAGGCTGGGACACACCATCAGGGCTCTCGGGGGGTTGCTGGGGAAGCAGAGCCCCCCTTTCCCTGGGCCTGGACCTGTGGCTGAGCAGTCCCGGGGGCGGGGTGGGACAGTGCTGTCCCAACATGCCGGCACACCAGCATCCTGGGCTGCATGGGATTCAGTTCCTGGGAGGGGCCTGCAGCCAGCCCAGGACCAGGGAGCAGCGGGGTGTGGGGCAAGGTGGGGGAGCCCCCGCCCTGCCAGGCGTGGGTGGCCACTCACCTGGTAGTGGGCCCAGCAGGCCTCCCAGATGCGCAGGGCCTCGGCCTCGGGGAACTCCCGCTTGAAGCAGAGCAGGAGCCAGCGGTGGCAGAAGAGCATCTGCAGGCCGTCCTCGCCCAGCGCGGCCAGGTGCTGGTAGAAGCGAGGGTGGGTCAGCCGCAGCAGCTCCCGCAGGTACAGCTGGGGGCGAGGGAGGAGCGTGAGCCCGCCCCACCCTGCCCCCAAGCCCCTCCTCAGCCACCCCCACCTCGGTCTCTGCAGGACACACGTGTCTGCGGCCTGCTGAGTTCTTTCGGGCACTGGAATTGTGTTCGCGCCTGTCTTTGCCAGCTTCTCCCAGACTTCAGACTGCCCTGGACGGAGGCCCTGGCATGGCCCCAGACAAGGCATGGCATGGCACCCTGTGGCCTGGGAGCTGTCTCTGGGGGAACCACCTAGCCCCAGCCACACTTAAGATCGCCCTGTGACATGGGACCAGGTCAAGGCTGTTTCTCTGACCCAGGACTCGGCCGACTTCACTGACGCCACCGGAAAATCAGTCTCCAGGAGCTAATGGGTCCCCTGGTCCTGTGCTGCCCTGAGCTACCAGGGAGAGTGGCGTCAGACCCCGTGACTGCCTCCCAGGCTCCGCGGAGGCCTGACATCACAGGGGTGCAGGACTGTGCAGAGCCAGCAGGCCTGGCAGGGGTCAGCTTCACTCTCCAGGGGATCTTGGTGGCCCGCACATGCCCTCCCCACACAAGTGGCCCATTGTTCTGCTGGAGAGGGCAGCTGGGGCTGTGGAGTGCAGGAGCTGAGTCCAGGTTCTCCACTCGGTGGCCCACAGCAGGGTCAAGGCCTCACACCCTCCTGGCAGTGCTCCTCAATCCCATGGCACCTCAGTGGCCCCTGCACGGCTGACCTGTAGGACGTGCTCCTTGGCCCCTTCAGCTCTGGGCTTCAGGAGCACATCATGTCCAGTGAGACCCGACCACTCAGCACAACTGTCCAGCTGAGCCTCTGGACACTCAGGGCCAGACCCCTGTGGGTGGAGATGACCCAGCCCAGGGGACCTGGGACACCTGCCTTCCTCCCTATCACAGGTCTTTTCTGTGTCCCCACATCCCACCCCTGGAGCCCGGTACTGTCTGCTCGATCGGTGGGCTTCCAGGCCAAGCTCTCTCCTGGACTGAGCGCGAGAGGGCAGCCAGCAGGTTCCTGGTCCACACTGGTGATGGGCAGTGAGAATGGCAGTTGGGAGCCCTAACTTGTCCTGGGCTGCACACCCACCCGCCGGACCCTGTCTGACCCAGCTTGGCTCCCCCACTCCCCACCACTCAGTGCTTCCTGGTCTATACCAGGCCAGTCCTTTTCAGGAGGCCTTGGGGTTGGGGGACGTGCCAGCTGGGCCCCAGGAAAGGCCTGCTGTCCTGGGGTGAGAACTGCTGCTGGTTCTCAGGGTGGCACAAGGAGCCCTCCTGTCCCCAGCCCACCCAGGAGCCAGGGCTATGTGGTAGCAGCCGGGAGCCCGTCCGTGCAGCACAGGGCCTCCCTCCCTTGCCCTCCCCTCCGGGATGTGTGGTCACATGCAGGAAGGGGACACTCCCCACAGCCCGCCCTGGACCTGCAGCCCTGGGAGCAACATCTGTCCTGGAGGCCGTGGTCCTCTTTGGAGGCCAGGGCCAAGTTGCCCCTGTCCTAGCAGCAGCACCATCTGGCTTTCTGCTGCCTACCGACCCATAAGAGCAAAGCCACACGTCACTGCCGAGACCCCTGGCAGCAAGAGGAGGTGGCAGTGTGCTCTCCAGCGCGCCCCATGCAGGCTCACACACGCACACGCACAGCCCCGAGCCTCACCAGCTGTTTCTCCATGTCCTCGTCCCGAGGAGAGCTGACGAAGATTGTATTCTGCATCAAACCCACGAAGCACCAGAAGGTGTCTGACTCGTCCTGGACCTCGGCCAGGAGGGGTGCCACCAGGTCCGACATGCCCTGGGAGTAGCCAATGGCCGGGTTGTACACAGCGTAGTTCAGCAGGATCCTCCTGGCAAGGCAGCAGAGGGTGGGCTGGGCATGACCCACGCTGCCCCCACCCTTACTGTTTCCTGCTGCCCAGGCTGGAGACCCTGTTGCGCAGGCCTCCCCTTCCCCTTGACCTCGGGAGGCAGTGCCTGGTGCAGGCCCTGGCAGCTCTGCGGCAACCTCAAGGGCTGAGCCTTGGATCACGACCAAACGGTCCTCGCTTTGCAAGAGGTGGTAGCCTGAGTGAGCTGCTCACCAGGCCCAGAGCCCAGAGCAGGGGGTGAGGAAGAATGTGGGTCTGATTTCCCTAATGCTTGAGTGCCTGTGACCAAAGGTGGGCTGGCAGACACATTTTTATGGGCTGTTAATTGTGTGCAATTATTTGCCAGGCTGCAGCAGAATGTCCAAGATGCCAGCCTCCGGCTCTGTGCAGCTTTATCACAGGAGGACCACCCATCAGGAGACGGAGGGGATGTGGGGAAAAACCTGTCTGTGGGCGGATGGGAGCCAGGCATGAGCAGGTTTGGGGGTGCCCAGGGATTGGAGGCTCTGCTGGCACCCTGAGTGGATCCTGGGCTTCCTTAGGATGCTGTGGCTGTGGGTTTCCTGCTGAAGCAGCCCATGAATCTTTTGCTTGGGACCTTGACTTCATGAAGCCTACAGAAAGCCTCCTCTGGGCGTGTCCCCTTCTCAGAAATCAGCTGAGGCTCAGAGAACAGGGGGGCCACCACTTGCAGATAAGGGAGGGCTGGACGGGGCCTTGGCCTGCCCAGGAGCCAGGTACCTCATGCTCTCCACGTTTGGATTGTCTTCCCCTCGGAAGAACTCGTTGCTCCGATCTGTACGAACCACATCTTTGTCCACGGTGAACTGCACGTTTCGCCAGAATGCTCCGCGCTCCTCAGGAGTCATGGAGAGCCTGGGGCAGGGGTGAGTAGTAGACGGGGTCCAGCAGCCCATGTGCCCCAGACAGGCCTCCCCTCGTCCTGCTGCAGGGAGGGCTGGGTTGCTTTGGGCAGTAAACCCTGTAGCTCTGGCAGTCATGGGTGGTGGCCCGTCCAAAGCTTTCCCCTTGGTGGGTTCTAGCCCCCAGAGGGGAGCTGAGCACAACCCACGGGAACAGGGCTTCACCCAGGCCCAGGCCCACAGGGAGCTGACAGCAGTCCCAGGGGCAACAGAGCCCAAGCTCTGCTCCAAGCAGCCAGCAGCTGGGGACACCAGCACCCATTCGGACTGTTGAAGGAGAGCTGGGACATCTTGACCTGAGAGCTCAGGTCTGCACTTCCCACCGGGTCCTCAGCTTGGGAGAAAGGAGGCACAGTGTGCCTGCCTAATGGCACCTCAACTGCCTCCAAAGGACATGGGCAGGGCGGCAGTCACCTCTTCTGCTGGATTTCCAGGTATTCCTTCCTCTTCTGCACCCGCAGCGCCTCGCGCTCCTCCGACGTGGACTCGTGGCTGTAATAGCGCAGCAGGAAGGGCCAGACCTCCCCGCGGATTGACACATCAATGCCGCCAAAGAAAATGGCCTGGAGGAAGCGGCCAAAGTTGGGGGGGGGCGAGCAAGAGGGCAGCTCAAAGAACCCCAAATCCCCAGGGAAGGGTGTTCTGGTGGCTCCCCGGCAATTTGCACATGTTCACCAGGGACAGCGCGGGCCCTGCGTTCCCATACAGGACACAAACCCGCTCATTTCAATGTCAATGCCCCCCCGGGGCGCGCTCCGATTGACGTGCGGTTCTCACGTCGCGGCCTAATCCCCGGGTTTGGAAAGGCCGCCTTTCAGCGCGCGGCCCTCTGTGCCGGCTGACACGGATCCCGGCCGCTCGGATTGTTCCCGCGCCGCGGCTTTGATCGCTTGGCCGCGCACTGGCCGCGCACCTCGCTCGGGGCGGACCCGGAGGCGCCGCCCGCCCCCCGCGCCGCCCTCCCGGGCGCCGCCCTCACCTGGCGCAGCTTGTACATCTCCTCCACCTGGCCCAGCTCGTTCAGGTGCTGCAGCCAGGCGGGCACGTCCAGCCGGCGGTACAGGCTCTCCTCGGGGTGCGCCTCGCAGGACGGCAGCTTGGGCCGCCGGATGGAGAACTGCACGCACGTCCTCTCGCTGGCGACCTGCTGGACGGGAGGGAAACTGGGCAAAGATCAGGGTCTCGACGCGGCTTTGGAGGCCAGCGAGGCGGTTCCCAGGATTTAAAAGGCTCTCTGTTCTGGGCGAGGGGGAGCGCTGCCCGGCACACAGGCCCCTAAATGGCAAGTGTAATTAGACGCGATTAAAATGGAAATACCTTCGCCCTCCACCCGGTCCCTGCGCTGCCCCCGGCTCCCCGCGACCCCACCGCCGAGAGCGGATGAATGCGCGGCCGCCCGCTCCCCTCCGCGGAGGCCGCGATAAATCACATGTGATTGGCCACATACAAAGGCCGCGCTGTTCCGCGCGGGGCCGGCCTGTCGGACCGTCTCAGCGCAGCCAGGAATCCCGGCGAAGCTGCAGCTGACATTTAATTCAGAAATCAAAGGTTGCTCAAGGCGGGGAAACGGCCCAGCCGCCGTCCTCGCAGGAGCCAGCGGGGGGCTCTGTGGGAAGGACGGGCGGTGGAGTCAGCCCCGTTTCTAATAAGCACATGCGGTCCCTTAAACAGATAATTAAAGGGCTCTCATTACAGTCGTATGTAGACGGAGCAAAATATGGCAGGGCGTCCTGTCAAAACACCATGTCTCAAGAGCAGAGCGCTGACTTTCAAAAAGCCCGGGCACTGACTGCTTCAAGCCCCAAGTGCCGTGCTGTCACCACCCAGCCACCACAGATGGACCCCAGGCCACCAGGGGCCACACTCTGGGAGTCCGAGGGCGCAGATCCAACCAGGGGCCTGGCAGCAGGGGCCTTCCTGCACTGGGGAAGGACTGCGCCCGCAGGAGGGCAGGGAGGGTCCAGTGGCGGCCCCTAGCGTGTGGGACCTGTGGGGCAGGCTACCTGGTCCTCGAGGTGGGACTCGGTGCAGAACTTCCACTGCTGGAACACCTCGCACAGCTTGTCCAGGCCACCGTGGTGGAAGTGCAGCACCTTGTACTGGCTCTCTCGGCTGGCCACGACCAGCTGGCCACTAGTGCAGGCCTCGTCACTGAAGGGACATGGGGCGGGGATAGAAAGCCCGATGAATATGCAAACGCTGGCTTTCATTTCCAAGTATCATCAGGCAGTCGCTGGAGTCCTGCGGCAGGTGGAGGGCAGCAGCCAACCCAGCCAACCCAGGAACCTGGGCCCCCCCCTCAAGGCAGAACACCTGGGCAGCCTGCTCCCACAGTGTCCTGCTGGCCACATCATCCTGTCTGTCCAGGGGCCTGGGGGTGGACACCTGTGGAGCCTGCTGGGGGACACTGAGAGGCTTCCTCTGGGGGAACCCCCAGACACTGGCCACAGTGTCCCAGCTCACCTGGCCACCCTCAGGTAAAGGCTGGGGCAGGCTCTGGTGGCGGGGCCCTCGGGGACAAGTGTGCAGCTCTCCGCACAGCCTCTTGTTGGTGCTGCGTGGCAGCCGTAGGGGCCGCAGGCAGGTGGCCAGGGGCCCTTGGGCCCATCGGAAGGAAAGGGAAGCTCTGTCAAGAAGGCTGCGCCCCCCCACTGCCCCTGAGGCAGAGCCAGGTGGAGAGGACAGCGGCGGCCACTCTGCACAGCACCTCTGCTTGGTCTCTTCTCCAGGCCAGGGTCTGAGTGACGGCCACCCTCCCTTTCCCCAAGGGCAGAGTCAGCCAGGGCCAGAGGCTGGGACAGCCCACCCCCAGGAGGCGTCCAACGCATCCTCACCTGAAGAAAAGCCGCAGGGAGCGCATGTGGCCCAGGTCCACGCGGAACACGCCGCAGATCTGCTCCGGGGCCCAGCCCCGCTGAGCCTCGTCCCAGCGCGAGGTCTGTAGGAGGCCATTGCTGTCCGGGAAGCGCAGGGTGGTGTCCGAGCTGGAGGGGGAGCTGGCAGAGCAGGCCACGTGAGGGCCAGGGCGCAGGGGGTGGGGCCTGGACAGGACACAACCCAGCCTGCCCCGCTGGGCAGACAGCTGTCAGAGCTAGTGAGGGAGTCCTGCTCTGGTCACGCACACCTGCGCTTTAATCAGGGTGGAAAGGTCTTCATGGTCAGACCCTGCTCCACTTCAACAGTGGTTACAATGACAGACAAGGCCACCAAGACTGGAGTTAGGATCCTTGCTGTGTGACCTCATGCACGTTACCAGGCTTCTCTGAGTCTTGGCTTCCACACTTGCAAATTGAGGACAGTTACCAGGCTCTGTGTGGAATAAGCAACTGTAACGTGCTCAGCACAGGCCTCGTCCTCCCACTTAAGAAAAGTAGCTGTTTGGCAACATTTTTAGGCGGAGAGGGGCTTCCACATGGGTTTCAGGTGGCTATATTTCTGAATAAACACAGATTTAGTGTATGGCTTGGCAAGAAATCACTTCAGTTATTAACATTACTAATACAGCAAGCATTATTAAACTCCTGTATGGCCTGGGCCTGGCCTAACCCCTTCTCATGTGCTTTTATTGCCTACAATTCTCACCATCAGCCTATGAAACTGAGCAATGCTATTAACCCATTGTACAGAAGAGGAAACTAAGGCCCAGAGAGGACAGCAACTCGCCCGAAGCTGCACAGCCAGCAAGTGGTGGGGCTGAGGTCAGCTTCATGGCTCAGTTCTCAGGGCCCATTCACAGCTGCTAAGTCTGCGGCCCAGCAGCCCAGCTCCTCTGTTCTAGGTACCCTTGCCAGTGGTTGTCACGTGAATTCAGCCACACCACGGTCACATCCTGCCTCCTGAGACCTCAGCATCACCAGCCAATGCCTGCTCAAATGCGACCTGAGCCAAGGAAGAGTGGGTCTGGGGTCCCAGGCTCTGCCCCACACTGGTAGGGCAGCAGTCCGGGCCTGCTGTCCTGCTGGAGCCCAGGACACAGTGGGACTGAGGCGCCTGGTCCAGGTCCTCCTCTCCAGCCTCCCTCGGAGACGGGCCTTTGGGCCCCTGGCTGCCTCCAGAACAGCACCAGGCGCTGTCCCTTCCCTGTGGGCAGCAGTGAGCCAGCGTCCTCCACCTTGGGGCGTGGGGGCTTCCTCCTGGGCCTGGAGGTCACAGGCACAGGTACAGCCCAGTGCAGAAGGCGGGTCGGCAGCAGCCTGAACCACCGCGCACAGGCCACCAGGCCCCAAGGGCTGAGGCATTGGCCTGTCCTCCCCAGTGGACCCTGACGGTCAGTCGCAATGTGAAGTCATTGTGCTCAGAGCAAGGCGGGGGCCTGAGGACAGAGCCGGCCCCCCACCAGGCCCCGCATGTGGCCTTCCTAAGCTGCTTAGGGAACAAGGCCGCTGCTCAGCCCAAGCCCCCACCCTCTCACCACCACCCAAACACAGCATCCGACCCCCCCAGGTCTGCATGCCCCTCTCCTCTCCGCACACTGTCCTGCTGCCCTGCCCGCCAGGCCAAGGTCCTCAGAGACAGACTCCAGGCGGCCCGCCCTGCTGGTCCCCCAGGGAGAGCCCGATTCCCAACCAGAAGAGCCCCCCAGAGGGACCACCCCACCTCCCCCAGCTGCCTCAGGCAGAAGTCTGCCTAAACCCCTCACAGCTCCTGAGGGGGAGGCTGTTTGCACCAATTAATTGACTGAGTCATTAAGTCAAGATGCTGTGCTGGGGACCTGCAGCTGGGGGTCCAGGGGCTCGACTGGAGCAAAGTTGACAGAAGCCTTAGTTCCCTGGGACCTGGGACCTGTGTTGGCAGATGCCACCTTGCTCAGCATCCACGGGCAGCCTGTCCCCCCCACCCTGTGGGCTGCACGGGCTGGGGGCGGCCATCCCAGCTCCCAGCAGAGGCTCGGCACAGAACCTACGTCATTTAATACTCAGACCTGAGTGAAAACAGAAAATGTCTGGGAACTCAGAAGTCATTGGAAAAAAAAAAAAAAGCTTTAAAGGAAATAAAACCTGGGATGGAAATATGTTCGGTTTTTTATGATCTTTCTACATATGTGAAGCAGTTTGGTTTCAGGAATATTCATATGTGCTGCATATAATTTGGCTTGTTCATAAAATTATTATGTGTGATGCATTAAAATTAAAAGGATGGTTTATTCAGGCAATTCCTTCTAGCTGCTCCGAAGGGCAGGCGTTTTCCAGGTAGAGGGAGAAGATGGGGCCGTGAGTGCAGACTGAGCACCTCCACCACAGAGGAGTACCTCCCCGGGTGAAGGGCCGGGTCTTGCTCACAGTAGGACCACGCAGTGCACACGCGGAGGAGGCTCTCGTCCGCAGCCGTCTGCACCAAGAGTGGCACCTGTCACCCCTGGATCCAGTCAGCTCCTGCTCCTGGAGAGAGAACGTGGCAGAGGGTTGCTAGGTAGGTCCCAGAGCCCAGGCTTGGAAAGGCCTGGCAGCTTCCGCAGGGCCCCCTCACCCAGCCAGGCACAAAGCGAGAGCCCAGCACATGGCCAGTCTGAGGCTGGCCCACCCTGAAGAGCTGTGGGCAAAGCCAGGGTGACTGGGGCATTTGTTATGCAGCAATAGGTGACTGACACATACAGGAAGCGTCTGTTTCCAGAAAAACCTCGATAGAAAAAGCCTCCAGACCTACAGCGGTGGCTCTCGAGGTCAGAGGCGCCAGGGACAGGTGTTAACATGATTTAAACACCCAGACCTCAACGTGTGCTCTTGCTTTCCTTCCATCCTGAGGCTTGGAGTTGACTGAAAGAGAAGCCCCTGGACCCCCAGCTGTAGGTCCCGAGCCAGTGTCTTGACTTAATGAATCAGTCAATTAATCGATGCAAACAGTCTCCCCCTCAGGAGCTGTGAGGGGTTTAGGCAGACTTCTGCCTGAGGCAGCTGCGGGGAGGTGGGGTGGCCCCTCCGGGGGCTCTCCCTGGGGGACCAGCAGGGCCGGCCGCCAGGACTGCCCTGGCTGTCCTCCATCTGGCTCCAGGGAAGCCTGGCCTGGCCTGCGGGTGAGCAGGACACAGGGTGCTGGGAGGGGCGTGCGGCCCTGGAGGAGCATTTGATGTGATGGAGAGAAGGGTGGGACACAGAGCCTGGGAAGGATGCCACCCTTTGGTGGCCCCTCATAAGTGTCAAAACCTAAAAGCATCCAAGGTGTCCTCTGAAATGTGAACACATGTCAATATAAATAAAGGACAGTGTGTCCAGACCAGAGTCACCCCCCAAAGAAGTAAGCTGTCGAGCCACAAGAACACAGGGGACACGCTGGGATTCCTGTCACCAAGTCCAACCTGGGTGGCAGGGCTCGGGGGAAGGCGTGCAGGGCATGGCACGGGATTCAGGGCAATAGGGTGGGCTGCCTGTGCCACCCCCCGTGGGCGCATGACCCCCCAGTGTGAACCTGGACTCGGGGTGACGATGACGGGCCAGCGCGGCTCACTGTACCAAAAGTGCCACTCTGGTGGGGCGTTATGCCGGGTAGACTGAGCGTGCGTGGGCCCGGGGCACACAGGGGTCTCCACTGTCCACTTTGCCATGAACCTGACACTGCTCTACAAGACAGTCCACAGACACAGCCACGGGGCGAGCCGAAGGCCACGGGACCTCAGAACACATGCGGGGTGTGACCAAGATGAGCGTGAACACAAGAGCAGCCCAGGAGAGGAGAAGAGCTTCCTAGAGGGCAGACAGAGGGTCAGCAAAGTGCCCATGTCTGTGGCCGGGGGGATCCATCGCAGCGGGACACGACACCCCAGGTGCTGAGACCACAGACTCTGTGCAGCGAGGCCTGGGGGAATCAGCCTTCCACAACGGCAAACGGCCCGGTCCTCGGAACGGCAATTTGGAAATCGGACGCAAAAGGCTTAAAAACATTCATGCATTATATTTTTTTTAATTTAATTTTTTACACAAATGGAGCACAACTTTTCACTTCTCTGGCTGCACATGAGGTGGAGTCACACCACTGTGCAATCACACCATTCACACATTTTACCTCTTGACTTCCTTAAAAAAAAAAATCACTGCATTTTAATCTGACAGAACAGTGGATTTCATTGTGTTGACCCTTTAATTTCTAGGAGTAAATCCAAAGAGAAGAGTGAAAGATGTCCACAAAAGATACATGAATCGACACAGAAAAAGCATTCGATAAATACCCAATGCTCAATTATGGTAAAAGCTAGGAGTGACAGAGACCCTCCCCAACTTAATGAAGGACACCCACAGGCTCCGCTGCTAATGTCACCCTGGGTGGCGGAGGACTGAATTGCACCCCGACCAGGGATGAGCTAACCATGCCTGCCGTCACCGCCTCGCGTTGGTGCTGCGGGCAGGACGGGAAAGGGAAGGAGAGTCACAGGGATTGGAAGAGGAGGTCAGCTCTCTGTTTTCAGATATGACTGTTTACGTTAAAAAATCCCAGGGGCAGGCTGCAGGCGTGAGGCACTGGGTTCGATCCTGAGCACCACACAGAAATAAATAAACAAAATAAAGGCACTGTGTCCACCATATAATATACATATATATCTGCCAGGGGAATCACGAAACAACTTTTAGAATCAATGAATGAATCTGGTAAAATTATAGTTGAATGTTTTTAATATAGAAAAAATCAGTTGTAAAATTGTTAAATCATCAATACACAAGTAGAAAAATAAATACAAAACATTCAAATTATAGTAGGGAAAAAAAGGGGAAAAAAAAACACACGAAATATTTAGAAACAAGTTTAACAAAAGATGTTCAAAGCTAGGCCCAGTATCGCACACCTGTAACCCCAGCAAGCTGGGCGGCTGAGGCTGGAGGATTGAAAGTTTGAGGCTGGCCTGGGTAACTTATCAAGACCCTCTCTTAAAATAAAAAATAAAAAGGGATGGGGATATGATTCAAGGTAAAGCACCTCTGGGTTCGATCCCTAAAGACCACCACACTAAAAACCCAGATGGCTGAGAGGAACGGGAGAAGACTTGATAAACGGAGAGGTGCACCATGCC